TAACGGTCTGGGATTCTGTGATTCTGTAACCGGATTAAAACACCGTGCTGTTACACCCGGTAGCTGTTTCCCACCAGGCTGACTGTTGAGTGTGTCAGCGTTTACTGAGTCTGTCCAACCTCCTGGATTTTCAGGTTTACAGAATCCCAATGGATGTGGAGAAGGTGGGCAGGGATCTGTTGTTCGTGTTGTCCTCTAGTGCTAGAATTTGAGACTGTCCTATGTCACTGTCCAGTGACAAGGTAGAATTAATGAACAAGTTGATCCTTCACGTGACGTGTAGGTGAACTGTGGAAATTTTTGCCACAGGACGGGCACATGGGTTGCATGGAGGAGACTGCACGAAGGAGAAAATCCTAACATACCCTGTGGCAGAGAGTTGTAGGCTGGAAAATGCACAGAATGATCCCTTTGTCGTATTTGTAGATTCTTGTTTTATACATCTGAATTTGACTACTGGTGGAGATGAGGACAGGTTGGACCTTTGGTCTGCCTCAGTGCAGCTGCTCTTTTTTTCTTGTATTCTGCTTTTAGATGAGGTTTCATGGTGAGCTGCTCAGTTCTGTGATTTCATCCTGTCGTGAGCTTTTCTGGCTACAGCAGGACTTTGCCAACATCCTTGAATGCTCAGAAGGTGAATTAATTATGTTCCAGGGCACTGTATGGGAGATAAATACACGTATTAATCAACAGAGTTTCTTAAGGTTTCAGATCATTTCTAGTGTTGCAGCTGATTCAACAGCTTTGTACAGTTCAGCTTCAGAGGAGCAATGATAATCAAGATATTGGCCCAGCAGTTCGGGCTTATGGGATATCTTAATTCGAAATCCTTTTTCCAGCTGTGCTGGGAACATGCTTGGTAAAAGAAGATTTAGGAACTGCCTGTGGAGAAGAGATACAAAAATCGTCTTCCCTCCCACCACCAGTCTTAGCTGCTTAGTTAGAAGTTGGGCAAAAAAAAGACAGACGCAACTTTTTGTTGTTAGATCATTTCCAGATCTTTGTGTTTGTTCATACAAGCCTG